CCAAAAATATTATTCCTCAATACCCCGTCCGGTATGAGGGTGAATTAGGTCATCCCCATACTCTGTTCGATATGAGCGCAAAAAATACTATCCCTCGATACCCCATTCGATATGAGGCAACGTTCATGGTAGGGTTCCCTATGTACCCGGTCTGTTCAACATCTCCCAAAATATCCAGTAAAACAATCATTCATTAATTCACTTAACCAAGCAATTTTCCATTTACATTTTAATTTTCAGTTTTACAAATTAACTGTAAATCACGTAAGACAAATAATACATGCATCAAGGAAGCACAACTGAATTATTTAACCATTACAGTATATTATCATGCATTTAAAGTTGTAAAATCAAATAATCAGTTAAACATGACAAATAATAAATAACTAACCGATTCTGGTTTCATTAGTAACTTGTAATTATTCTTGAAGTTTTCTAAATTACACAAAATACTATATTATCGATCATTAAACTTTAATTCTATAACAGAAAGTATGGTAAGGGATTCTTATCCAAATCGGTGTCCGAAATATTAAATTTTCTACTGCGCCTATTAGCTATTCCATGATTTTCTAAATTTTTCTCCAGAGATTAAAACACACTTCACGTACCTAAAAATATCTTAAAATCTAAAATCGGTGTTAAAAATCATTTTCTGGCCAATTTTGGGGTTCCAGCACGGCCGCCCGCAATGGTAGTTTTCCTAGGCCTAGCCATTTTCAGCCGCTTTTATACCCTTTCCTATGAGAAAACACGTTAGGGGGCCTCGATTGCCCCAAAAAAAATCAAAATACAAAAACCTACCGGTGGTGAAATTTTTTGGTACAATGCCTTCGTCGGCTCACCTTCGCGCCTGGGTATTTTTCTTCGGTCAACCTATAGGAAAGAGAACGGTGAACACAACGATGAAAAAATCACACAAAACGGAAAACGAGAAGGGGTTTATCAGAGGCGATTGCAGATTCTGCCAGCGGTGGCTCCGTTGGACTTTACCCACAGGTTCTAGCTCACCTGCCTTTTGGTTTACACCGATATGGCCACAGGGATGCTCGGAATCGAATTTAGAGCAGGTAGGAGAATTTTTACCTTTTTTGACGGTTGAAGGTGGCTTTAGTACAACGGGCGGATGATGGTCGGCTTCCTTCCCCGGCTGCTAGTTCTTCTTTTCCGACAGGGGGCTGGCGGCTAAGGTTC